CGATACCAAGAGAAAAATCATGCTGTTTAAAATGTCACAAAAACCCCTGAAGAACAAAATTAGGAATAGCCTTATTCCCAACCCATGGAAAACGGTTGTTCAAAGAGCCAGTGTTTTCTGCACAGAACGTCTGTCGCGACAGAGCCCAGCTGCTGCGGCCGCTGCACCCCCCATCACACCGCAGCAGCCCGGTGCAGAGGTACAGCGGCTGCTCTGTGGCTGCCCAGCCATGCGCGGCGGCGAAGCATGGCTTTCTGCGCCGGAGCCGGAACAGCAGCAGTTCGCCTTTACTGCCATTCATTTCATCAACCTCGGCACAACCGAGGCGCAGCGTCTCAGCTACACGGCTTTGAGCACACACACATCCAGACTGGTCTTACAGGGGCAAAAGATGCACCTATGTAATAATATCATATTTTTAAGTAAAATCTGCATACTAAACTATAAGATTATCTTGATTAAAGCAAGTTTTGTACATTTTTGAGAGTGTATTTATTTGTAGATTATTCTAGGAAGTCTCTCCTTAAATATAAATGAGGAAGCGAAGATTTAATAATTAACATTTAAAAACAAAGCTATATCATACCTTTCTTTTCAATTTCTGCTTTATTTTAATTTGGCCTCAGTTTGGCCCCTTTGTCTGCCAATAATGCTACAAGTGCTTGAGTAACTACAAAATTTGGAGATGTGACAAGTTTATTTTCTTCTGCAATTCCTCTCAAAAAACTCGGCAAAAATTTTCGCTGAATTGGATCATCAACAGTTGTCAAGTTTACACCGGTTGCTGCAGAAATCAAATTCTGAAAATAAATAATTAAAGACAATAAATAACCAGGACAAACAGAAAAATTAATCTTGAAAAACATTTTTAGTTGAACAGACCATGCAGATTTTTCAAGATTTTCATTTTTTTTTTCAGAAATTCTCAAGTCCCAAACGCTTTTAACAGGTAAAGATCATGTGGATTTTAACGCGGACTTAAATTATTTAAGTCTTCTAGTCTGGGGAATACCTGGTCTTAATGGACCCAACTATCCAGACTCATGGATTTAAATAAAAGAAAAAAAAAAAGACAGGGAAAAAAAGTATCAAGTAACCAAGAATACCAGCAAGAACTAAGGAGCTTATAGAAGAACTTCTATAAAGCTCTGCACCTAGCAGTAGGATAAAAAGCAGTAACATGTAATAAAATCTGTTATCCCACCCAACACTCATACTTCTCCACAATTATATTTCAAACTCAGAAGAAAAAAAAAATTACTCTGATTGCTCTAAAGTTTCCTGATACATATGAAATCCCGCTGCAAGTCCACAGCTGTAGATCATCTCTTTCTAAAGAAACTGTGCTCCACACAGAGTTGACTCAATTAAAAACCTCAAAACTTTAACAGAAAAACCTTATCAGCACAAAAAACACATCCATTTTTCTCCACTTGAAAAGAGTACCCAGAAAAAAAAACAGTGAAGTTACTTGATTTTTACCAGCAATAAAACATACCCTTGTGCAAAGTCATCAACAAGGACTCTAAGGAGATTCGCAAACTGGGGACAGTCTCATCACAGTTCAGAAGATAAAAGCAGAAATTATCAATAGGCACAAAATGGATCGCTTTATCTCGCGTAAAAGTAGCTTGATATAAACATTCACATTGAAATAACGGTCCTACCTGTGTGCATAACTGTACCAGCAGCTTTGCAGCACTAGGAGTGTTTGATGCCAAACAGCCCACTGCTGTACTCAGATAGGCCAGGCAAGATATAGGCTTGCTTGTTTTGCTGTGTATTCCTCTAGCTCTCTCTGTTGAACTTGAGATAGTGGATGGACTCGTGGAGAGGCCTGCTCTCCCTGCTGCAGCGAGGCACATTAAACGGACCAAAGTTCTGATATCTGTTAATCCCAAGGATTCAAGACCAGCTGCCAGGCTACAACTGGAACCACTGTCAAAAATGAATACAAATGCTCTTGGTTTTCTTAGCACATTTAAAAAGAAAGTAATGTTTGGATAAAACTATTCTAAACCCATTAGTGAACACTGCCTGTTTGATTAGCTTGACACTGTTTACCATGCAGGCGGAAGGGGAAGAAAGAGGAATGAAGCTGCAGCCTGACCACTCCTTTTCTTTTAAGCTGAAGACTTGCCCTTCAGCTTAAAAGAGCTGCACATTATAGACTTGCCCTAGCAAAAATCCGTAAGTTTACCTGGAATCAATCATGAACAAATTTACATAGATAATTCATGTTTGGAGTTGCGCTATGACAGTATGTACATGCACATGTCAGATTTCTGCAATGTCTTCATAGTCGCACAGGTATCTCATACAAAGCCTGTTTTTAAATCCTCATGTCCCACAACTCCTTCACTTCATCTTCTTTTCTCTGAAGTTTACCTCTAAGTTCTAACACCTGCCTTGAACAAAAATCCACTGACAAACACAGCATCTTTATGTTCTGAATGGCTGATACTACTGGAGTCCACTTTCCATACAAGATGTAGCAGTTTCTTTCATGAACTCTGAAGATAGGGTTCAAAAGAAAAAAATCAACAGAACTTTTTCTCTTAGTAGTATGATGTAAGTACATCACATGAGAATCACTTTCCCAAGAGCTTAAAATTGCATCCCTATCAAACGTGACTTGATAACTGGTTCCAAATGGAAAGGTGGAAGGGTTGCCGAGGATGCCACAAACCTGACAGACAAAAGTGAGAGCGCTCTCATAACCATCGTTCTTGCAAGGAGGACTTGGGCGGCAGCTGTCACTCTTCTTAGAGCCATCACACGGTCATGCGGATTGACTAAGGCAGCGGCTTGTTCTCCTAAGGTTATCCTGCCAGAAGAACTTTTTTCTATAGAGCCATGACAGCCTTGGAAATAATGATGATTTGCATTAGTGTTTAAATACAAACAAAACATTATCATATAGTAATAAGCGCAGAAGCAAATTCAGCCTAAGTTTGCAAATTACTCATTAATTTTTCAACATTTAATACATACAGCACTACAGCGATAATGACCAAGAGGAAAATACACTCCTGAAATACACTCTATAATTAAATTATTCCTTATCTGCAAAGACAGATGAGCACAACTTGACAATATCCAAGTTAATGTTAATTCCTCTGTTTCCCTTTTCCATTAGAGGGGTCTTTAAACGTATACACTGATCCTACATTTCAACAGGCTGGTCAGTAGGTCCTAATTTAAATCCATGAATCCATCTTTGAGCTCTCCAAAACATGCTACTGGCATCCACTGCAGGACTACGGTCACAGTTTTATTAACAAATCAAAGCTTCAAGCTTTTTGCCAGTACAAACACCTCACACTCCTCTGTCTAACTCCCCTACAATAAAAGGACAGTTTAGAACCCTGTCTTCACTTCCTCCTGGGAGGCAGGAAAGACTGTCACAGTATTTCTGCCTTGCCCCCATAAAACCACACCAAAGGGGAGTTATTTGTTCTTTGAATGACATTCCTTTCAAATTTACCTATTTGCATCAATGTTTCTTCCATGCTGTTGGTGGCTGTCACCATTGCAACTGAAGCACCCAGAGGGTCGCTGTCAGGGAACTGTACAGGTTCAGGTACAATACGGCGATCGTTTAACCCAAGAGGTCCAGCCAGTAATTCAAACTCCTCTTCTCCTGTCAGCTTTTCATCTTCGTCTACATCTAACATATCCCAGTCTTCTAGAATTGGAGAAACAGAATTAGACTTGGTTACAAAAGCTAAAATAGTAAACAATTTCAATTAATTGAAAAACCAATACAGCGTATAAAATGTGGATTGCAATCTGCAACATACTAGTCTTAAATACTCAACTTCTGATGTTGGCATAGACATAACATAGAAAATCAGAAAAAATCCTGCTTTTGCCTCTCTCCACTGCATTTGTTTGTTACTTCTACTGCAGCAAAGTTTCACGGATGATTCTCTGCAGTATCAAACTAGCTGTTTTTTTAAAACACAGAAATGAGAGGTCCTCACATCTAGCACAAGACAACTCCAAAACCTGGAATACAGTGAAGAGTGCAGACATACAGTTGTGCTTTAAGTCATATATGACAACAGGTGCATATTCCAAAGGACTCCACAGCAAAGACACTAGATATTAGAAAGCTCCGTCTTCATATTCATCAAACAAGTATGCATGAGTTCTTCGGTCATAGCTGTACACCCAGGCTTGTGCTTTTCCTTCCCGGAAGGGCAGGGAGGAGAGAAAGGAAAAGCACTACAACTGCAATTCAGTTCTGCATTCCATTCACTTCCCAGCCGTTTACACAGCAGTCGACCTACATTTCCTGATCTCTACCACTCTTATCTCACTCCCCACACGGTAGAATCTGAACCCCTTTAATCCACTGGAAGGTGGACTGCTGTTAAGTTCTGGAGCACTGACTCTTAAATAGACAAATGTGGTCAATCGTACAACTGCGATCATACAAGCTACAGAAAGGCCCAGAATCAAGGAATCATATGGGAGAGGTTTTCTACAATCACTAGAAATAATCTCTTGAAGTGAAAGCCGTCCTCAGGACGCTCTCAGCTACTACAAAGGTAGAAAAAGTAAGAATAAGCCTAACGGCACACTTCTAAGATTCTTATGCTAATTAACTTCTGTTACAAAGGGAGCAGAAGAAATGTATTTGAACGCCAGGCTCTGCATGTGCAGTCCTGGATACAGCACCTACCCACACCACCTTCTCACCCGAACTTCAGTACTGGTCATCTCAGCTACTCAGATGAAAGACACGGGAAAAATGTCACTGATTCTTTTCCCATATGAACTACAAAAAAAACATTAAAATACATCTAGTCTGAAGAAGATTTTGAAGTATACCTTCCTGTCCAGTTTCAGGAGTACCTTTATGGAAAAATAAAACACTGGGCAAGTCTGAAGTATTTAATATCTTCAGCAACTTAAAAACATACCTTCGTAGACACTGTCTTGTTTACCTATTAGATCAGGAGCCTGGCCTTTGTACCTGTATGAAAAAATAACAAAGAAAATAACTGAATGGATCTGATAATTTATATAAATACATAATTTAAAACTTGGTTTACCATTATATTGCTTTACTGTTAGGGCAATGTATATATGATGTCAGAAATGGCTAGTAACAGAAACAATTAAAAGGGCTTCTAGAAGTGTCTGCGGAGGGTGGAAGCGTTTTGCAGCACTAATGTGGGAAAGGCCCATAAAAAACACTGGAATTGTCAGACAAAACAAGTTTTCAAAAGTCAACAAGAGTGTAGGCAACATTCCAAGAAATAATTCCTTGGTTTTCACTTAAAAAATAGAAATATCAAGACAACTTTTTTTCCTAAATACACATTTCTTGAGTACAGAGAATGAAAGACAAATTCTGATAGCAATTTTAATTTTTTCAATCAAATCCTTAAAACGCTGACACTCACAAACATTTTTTAGTTGTTTCTTTTCCTTACACAGAGTATTCCACCATCTTATACTTCCGTACCTTTCAGAAGTTGATGTTTTAGATTTACTCTTCAGGGCTAAGTATTTCTCTCTGCAGATACCGCACAACAAGTAGTAAGGATTTCCGCTTCCGCATTCCCCACCAAACCACCCATCTACGTAAGAACCATTGCTACGATAGCCCTGGCGATTCGCACTGCGACCGCAGCCCGGGTGGTTTCTCTTCATGTGTTGATTGAAGCTGACAACGCTGGATTCACACAGCTCACAAACCACTACTTCTTCTCTGTCTTCAGATTCACAAACATGCTGCACAGTAAGATTGCCACATATTATTGCACAGAATAAATCTCTCCATATCAGATATCAAACAGGCCAATATTCTCCGGTGCATGTTCCTGCCCATTTCTGTTACACACACAGGGATATTTACATGGTTAACTCGCACAAAAGCAAAGCAGAAATAGACAACTGATGACATAATGAAGAAAGACAATCTCAGAACAGGAAAAACATTCAGAAGCGAAGTTTCAGAGGATGAGATTTTCCTATTGCATTTCAGCTCCAACTCAAAACTCTTGCCAGGGTAACTTCTTCCATATAACTCCGCTAGGTCACATTCAATGCTGTCTGTAAGTTATCTGGTTCTCCTCAGAACCTGACTAGACTAGATCCAACAAAGGAAAAAAAAAAATCCTTCTCCAGACAATTGGGCTTTACATTTACTGAGCAACAATAATTATCATTTGTGTCATTAAATTCCAAGGTTTATAATTAAATATCTGTCCTAAGTCAGTAATTTCATTGTGATGTTCCAGTGAAACAAGCTGAAAAATTCAACATGCGTACTGAAACTCACTCCCACATCAGAGTCAGGTAACACCATCATTAAGAGACAAAATCTAAGTCTTGTGGGTTGCTTATCTAATTTGACATGGATATTCCAAAGATTAACAAGCTGCTGTTATTATATTTCTTTCCCATTTCAGACATATTTTTAGTGGGCTATACAACAACTGAGTGAGGACTGTCACCATCTCCTTCCCAGAGAATGAAATACCTGACATGACTAAACTAAGAAAAATTGATCTAAGTGCAAATTATGTTGCTATAGATCAGATGTTGTTATTATTATTGTTGTTGTTGTTGTTATCAAAAGAACAAACATTTACAGCAGTGTTTGTTATACCACAAAGCTAATCAATCTAGAATACATACTTGATTTCTAAGTAATATTCTCACAACAACAACTATACTAGTTCTGTTCTCATCTTTCAGGGGAGGGAGAGGAAAAACTACATACGTGTAGAAGTGCAAAGCAAGAACCACAAGAAAGCACTATTCTTAATCTAAAAGGGAAGCTACAGAATACAAGCAGATTTTAAGCATTGCTGGCATTTAGCAAGATCTTTTTAAACAGGCTATAAGCATATGCATGTTACTTTAGATTTTAAAACACGAACATGCAAAAAGCAGTAAGTTAAAGCAGCCCCCGCTGCAGTCACACACACCCAGGTAGGCCAGTCCAGTACCTCTGGGATCCACATTCCCAGAATATCATTATCACTAGCCAGGTCCTGCCCAAACATAGCTTCCATTGCTTCATCATCCAGGTCAATCTCCAACTCTTCATCCAAGTTGAAGTCATAAAGCGCCCCTGGATCTTGCTGCAAAGATATCCCTTCTCTCCGACTCTGATTCCTGTGGGCCTGTACAGAGCGGTATAATCCCGCTCAAGGAAAAAAAGAAAAACAAAAATAGCACTTTTATTTTGCATGTAATAAAGATAACTGTACTTTCAACTTCCTTTTGCTTGTTTTTAGCTCTTCTGCTAAACATAATCTACTTATTACCACATAAATACTGTAGTTCAATCTACACTGATGCACATATGAGAACGAGAGTTTTGCAACTTTCATAACTTTCACACCAAGTACCAATCCCCCTCCTCTGCATTTACGGAATAAGCAAAGACCTTGGAAGTCTTTCCGTATACCTACCCGCACGTGCTAGCAATGTCCGGGCAGCTAAATCAAATTTGTGTCTTCTCGTTACAGCGGAACGACTTCTAGAAGGAGGTCCACTGGCAGAAGCTGCGTTATCCACGTGATCCATATTATCAGGGCTGCAAGAATTTGTAAGTTACAGGTATATCAAACCACGTTTTAAACAGCCACATACAGTAAGGAAGGAAAAATACTAAGATCATATTTATTGGCTTTTTTTTTTCTTTCTTTCAAGGAAGGAAAAAAAGGGAATTTGGAATTCAAGAATTTTCAGTTCCACTGCAGCACATATTCGCTCTCTTTTTGACTGTGAGATTTACCTCAAACAACTCAGAGGCAGCAATATCAACACCTATTCAATGCTTCCATTGTGCCAAAGCAGTGCAGAAATCTTGGGAGAGCATTTTATGCTGTCAATGTTAACTACAGCTCAAACTAGATTTCTTCTCCTATTTAGAAGAAATATTTCTGTGTTGCTGCCTCAGACCTTCCCTCTTTTGCCCAAAATCGTTTGCAAAACATGAATTTAAGTTACTTAGTAACAGTTGTTGCTTAGTTTATTTCTCCCAGCTGAAATCTGTGAGTTCTCCATGAAATGACAGGTCACCTGGGGCAAAGTAACTGAGGAAGCTTCAAAACATGTATCTCAGTAGGATCAAGGAATCTGAAAGTGTTCTCAAAATACCTCTTGTAATTGTCATACTCCCTGTTAACAACAAAGGTGGCATAATTCCTAAAAGTGTCATTTAAAAATATAACCACTGCCTTTAGCATTAAAAACAAAACAAAAGAAAACCAACCACCTTTCCTCCTTTAATAGATAGTTTAGATCTAAGGTTGCGAAGGTAATGGAGAATATAAACTTCAATTCAGTTTCATCCTTTCAGGACAAATCAAGAATTCATTTTAAAAGAAAAATGTAGAAAAAAAGCTGTTCATGAATACATTGAAGAAAAAAAAATACTCCAATGAAATTCTGGTTTATTACTAGGTCTTTTAGGTAAAATATAAGCTATATGCCCTATTTTTATCGTTCCTCCTTCCTTTTTTCTGAAGGAAGGATGTTCAGTTACATCCTTCCCCAGTTCCGTGAGCAAACAGTACTGCAAAATAAGGCACCCATGTACGCCTAATTTAATTGCATCTTTGCTTTTACTCATGTTGTAACAAAACTCAAAAGTGGCATTGCAAAGCAATGTTCTGCCATCAAAAATGAACTGGTGAGATTTTCCATTTCAGCAATGGATTAGAAGCAATTGTAAGAAAACTACATCTTACCTTTCACTAAAGCCTTCCTCCATTTCAGTGGCATCAGCAGAAGGGATATCACCTGGTGACTGCAAATAACAATGATCACCAGATTTTCCACCACTTCCAGAGACTGTTGTCCCATGTCGTGAATCTGCAGTCCCTTCTGACTGGGGCTCTTCATCATCTTCATTTCCAGGGTGCTCTATCATCCACATGGCCAGCACTGTGATATTCTGTGCATCTGCTTCTCCTCTGGCACCTGAAAGCAGGAAAATCACGCTTCAGAATTGCAATGTATCATTGATGGTGAAAAACCACATTTTGTTCCCCACAAATGGTTCTAGAATTTAAAAATTAAGTATTCCACTGGAAAAAAAGTGTTTCATATTTATCTAATTTTCAGTTTAAACTGATTTTATAGTTATAGATTACCTGTAGCTTCCATAGCTTTTGCAATCTGCCTGAGGGAGAAGCCCATTTCTAACAACGGAACAGCAATGGCAGGAGGAGGAGGGGATGTTGAAAGTCGACTGCTTGGATCAGACAAAGCTTAAAAGACAGAAAACATTAAATGTAAAGTGCATAAATCTTTCTTTAGTGTAACTTTCTTACTTCGACATATCAGCTTCAAATAAGGGAATAATTGCCCTTAACAACTTTCCTCTGTACTACTTTCAACAAAGTAAGATACTTCCTGCAATGAAACCAGATGGCATTCATTCTTATTGGTATCACACATATCATGTAAATTTCTGTTTAATCAAGTAGGATACTGATGACATCCAAAGAAGAAATTAAGATATGTCTAAGAAGTTTATTTCCATTTAAATTTGTATCAAGTTATCTGTTTGATTTATATTTAGGTAGACTAAAGTCATCCTTGTCCGAATCATCCAAGATTCCCAGATATCATGAGATGGCACCAATACACATTCCTCTTAAGGTACAGAAAAAGACCTCAACTAAGCTGGTGACCTATCTGAAAAATCTCTTTGCAGACAATTGCTGTATTTCTGTGCAAAGAGTCTTTCAAGTGACTCTAAAAAGGTCAGTTACTGCCCAAAAAAATAGTTTCTTTATCATTTGCCACTATTGAAGCCACAAAACATGTGCAAACAGACAGTTTTGTAAAGACTGTATCATGACTAGAAGCAAGTCACCTCATTAAAAAAACCAACCAACCAAACAAAAAAACCCCCACAGAGATGTGGTGAAACAGAGCAGACAAGCTGCTACGCAGCAATGAAACAGCTGAAAGACACAACTAATATCATGGATAGATGAGCAAGAATAAAAAGTTGTATCAGGAATTTTAAAGCATGAACTTTGTTTCTCAGCGCTGGGTACGAAACCTGGAGAATATAGTTCTACTCAGTCTCTTCTATTCCATTAATACAAAACACATACATGTGGACTTGTATTTTTCTTTTCAGCATTATTTCCTTTGCATCACAGCCTCCCATTACCTTCACATGATTCCAGACAGCAGCATGAGGAGCCCATGAAGGTTTTATCTCATTAAACAAGTTTAATTGGAAGGAGCTACACTGGTGTATGCATCATAAAATACACCAATTCTTGTCTTCTGCATGCTATATGATCTAACAAAAGCTAGAAAATTAGTGGACTGAACAGTGGCACACGACCAAGGAAACAAGCCCAAATCAGATTAACATTTCGAAGTAATTACCAATTATACTGCTTTCTTGTTTTACACATGTAGTTTGTAATCCATTCCACAGCTTTTAAAAACTAATTTAATTTTCCTGATAAAGTCTACAGCTAGACAACCAACAGCTTTTTGTCCTACAATAGTCATTAAAAGGTTTTCAGCAATGCTTTGCATGCTAGGTTGCATTAAAATGAAATCCTGTTGGCTTTCAATGTCTTAAAAAACTACACTAAACATCTGCGAATTTACTAACTTGTCCACATTTCTGTCTATATTGACTACAAGTTTACCTGTACGATTGGCAGGTCTCGCAGACTGGGAATCAGGAGAAGTCAAACTTTGTCTCCTTCCAACTTCATCTGAAGGAGATGTTGGTAAAGAGGATATTGGAGGAGTCTGAGCACGTCGTGCTGGAAGTACAGTTGTAGTAGGATAACTGGAGAACATTTGCCTTTAAAAAAGAACAATATACATTTATATCAAAAAGAGCCATGCTGGAAAAGGTCTAACAGAAGAAAAACAAATTAGAGTGCACTTGGCAAGTCATACTTTATAGCAAATGAGTTTTGTAAGGGTAAGGAGCAACTGGGGCAGGCAGGAAAAACCCTGTCAGAACAGCTCATCCCTACCACCTTTGCCTGGAAAGTTAGATTCTAGTATGGACCTAAAAAAAGCCTTCATAGACCAAGAGGTGTCTGAGGAGACAAAAGAGAAGTAGACAGTCTGCCCATTTCCCCACTTGGTTCAGAACTCAGCCTGACCAATAAACCAGGTGAGTATCTTGCACTCTCCCGGTCCTAGGACATTGTTCCGGCTTTTGTCAAATTGCACGTGCAAAGCCTCCACAAACAGGGGTCAGGTACACCAACAGAATGAAGAAACTTAGGACAGGACTCTATTCAATGTAAAGCAGATCTCTTTCTACATCACAAATAGCATCTGCAGATTAACCAGCTTTATCTTTCTTCCGTTTCAGCACGTGAGGGCAGGATGAAATGAGGTCTTAGCTTGCAGGATGGTACCTACAAACTAAGATCTAGTCTAGTTTGAGAATCAACAACTATTTGTAAAAAACACAAAATTTCAGAGATTCGTAATTTAAACTATACCAAATAAGCACAAGAACTGAAGGACAACATAAGGAAGGTGTTTTCTCCTGTCACGAAGAATTCAGATGCTACATACATATACAGTGTATATTAAAAGCTTAACAGCTTTTTATTTCTAGTAACACATGTCCTGCAAGGCAAAGTAACAAACTCTGTCCTCTGCAGAGGCAGTTCTTGACAGTAAACACAAACACAAACATTTTCCAAAGCTCAGACAGCTAAAGACATACACTGTATATAAAACACAACTGGTTTCCTACACCCACAAAATCATATATGCTGAAAATACAGATACTTTACCTAAGCAGACTGAGAGGCATAACACCAGGTGATTCCGAAGCTGGAACTGTTTCAGTATCAGTTACTGGAGTAGTAGCAGTGGTAGTATCCTCCAGGGAGCTGCTCATGAAAGACGTCGTGCTAGAAGCAGAAGGGCTAGTTGTAACTGGTGTTTGGGCTTGCTGAGACTGATCGCCTTCTTCTGCTTGTTGATCTACTTCTGCAACACAAAACAGCACATTACAGGAACATCAATACAATTGCATAGAGCAAAACAGCCGCTGTGGCTAAACTTTCAAAAATAACTACTGTTATTTACAATTCCCCTCAAAGCAAGAGGTGTGCAAAAATGTACACCATACAAATACTTCTGCCAATAACTCCTGGACTTCTGTGAAGAAATGAGTCTATCGGCACTTGCTGTCATCATACCGACACCAGGTAAACAGTAAACCAGTCTTTCCAGATGACAACAGAAGCCATTTACTTGGTTAGATCTTACGATAATTAGATTTAGACATTTAGATTTCTGATTGTAACAGCTAGGATTATTCTCCTAGGCAGAAGAGAAAGAAGTCTCAGTTACGGAAACAGAGCTGATTAACTGTAAAGCTATTTTTAACTCTGCTGTTTAAGTAATAGATTTTTGAAGGGTTTTTTGGATGATTTGGAAGTTGTCCCTAAGACAATACAGAACCAGACAGAGCAGTAATTAGCTTTAATATTTTAGATTTTTTTTTGTTTAAGCCGATTTAAATGGTTTCCCTGAAGATGCAGACCGTAATACATGTATTATTCCTTTTCTTCTTAAACATACACATTTTCTCTTCAGCTTCTGTTAGCACAGTGCCAAATATCTCAGGAAAAAAATTCAGAAAACAAAACCCCAAAACCCCACAACTGATTTAGAGATTTTCACTGACAGAAACACAGGTTACTTACACCCTGAACATACACATGCTCAACAGCATCTGTTAGCATGACTGCATACAATCCCAATTTGTATGTGACATGGTATCGTAAAGTTTACTCTTGTTAAAAGAGTGAACTTTATGATACTACGTCGCACAAAAATCCTTCTCACAAGTATATACAGAACTGCTCATTTTTAAAAAATACTAAAGACCAATTAGAAACTCTTCTATTTCTGAGTGACTGATACACATTCACTTTTTATCAAAATAAGGAATCAAAGAAAAGGCAAAAAAGTCAGTATAATATTTACAAAACAGTAAAACATGTTTGTAAAATTCCTCTGTCCAATTAAGATTCCCCCAAAATATAACCACTACAAAATTACAAGATAACGTTATTTGTATTGTCATTACTACTATCAATTCTAATAGATATTTAAAAAAATAATTCAGCACTATATTTCCATAATTATGAAAATGTACCTTGTTTCAGTCTGCCACCAAACTGATCCTCCAGCAGCCCATGAACCACTAATTTGTAGATCATGGCTTGTGCTCGTTCCAAATCTGCCAGTCCTAGAGCTCTCTTAATCGGTGAACGCATGACTGCCCGTTTCACCATGTGCCGCATCAGGAACTGCAAGGCAGCACGCATTTCAACGTCTTCATGAACAACCGGAGAACTAGCACAATCCGAGTTGTGACCATTTTCTGCCAGGACTTTTGGTATTAAAAGTAGTTCAGCGTATTTACTACAACTAAGAAGAACACTAAGTGACTTCATAGCACCAAGATAAAGATAAGATAGCTGTACTGCCCTGATTTCTGACTGCACTATGTCATGATTTCTTGAAGTATGTTCATGGTTCTTTTTTCTTCCTTCTGCAGCTTGGTGTTGGGATTCCATACCCAGCGTTGATGGCTCTAACGAAAAGGAAGCAATTTCATTTTCTGACTTCAAGCTTGTAGTGCTATGTCCTTTGTTATCATCAGCACTTTGTCCTAATCTTATATCTGATACAACATCACCCTCTATTTTCTGGTCCAATTCCCCTTTATCTTCAGATTCATGTCTGTGTTTTTTCTCATGTCTCTTGGTGCTTTGCTTTCCCGTATCTTCATGAATACCAGTCAGATAGGTAAGGTCCAGCAACACAGTAGCTGTCAGCCCACGAAATCTTGCAACATCAAAAGGCAGCGGTTCGCAGGGCTCCAGATTATACAATGGAGTATCACTAGGCGACCAAAAAGTTGGGAAGCTTTAATAAAGATCAGAATGACACAGGAAAAAGCAAGTGAGGGAGAGACAGGAGGAAAGCATAGGAAATAATGTAGGCAAAGTAAGATGTAAAACATATCTAATGAAATAAACAAACCAATTCTAAAAATTAAATGCGAACAGGGGAAAATGAAGTTATGATCAGAAAATGGGGAGATATGGTATCAGAGTAAAGGCAACAAAGCATGCACAAGGTTTCAACAACAAGCATTAAAACCCAGAAGCGTCATAGAATTTATTAATTTTGTGCTGACAGAGGTTTCTGCTATGCTGCTATTCAGAAATGTGTAACAGACTTTTCTACTAAGAAAAACTACCTTAAGCCATATTTTACCATCATACCTGAACTGAGTTTGTGAATAGGTATGAAAGCTTAGAGAGAAAACACTCCTAAACTTTTTTCACATTAAGAAAACGCTTTGATTGACCTCATGTTCCTGTTCAACCATTCATCACAAGGAGCACACTACCGGTATCTCACAATAATTCTCTCTCTGGTTATGTCAGGACAGATTACCTGGAGAGGACAGTGACTATTTAAAGACACGGGTCAGAAAACCCAACAGACACACGTAATATATGTCTGTCTATCTGTCCATCTATATCTAGTGATAATATTTTGTAATATTTAGGACTGTTACATTTGACTAATTTTCACTCTAAGCAGGACAAAAATTCACCAGCCTGTATTTCCATGTATCTAGTATTTTCTATACATCCAGCAAATAAAGGACTTCTAAATCTTCCTTTTATTATCCCAAAATGTTTTCCCATCTTACAATGGTACATCCCGAACTTAGTTCAATGCATTACCAAGAGCTTGCCTATGTTCAAGTGCTGTACCACTTCACTCCAATAATATTTCACATTATTTTAAGGCCACACTTACTTTAAGACTATACTGTCACATGGGCATACTCGAAAGGACTTGTACCCGGAACTAAATTCAACAATCAATTGCACTTCAGTACATTGAGCTAAAGGGACAACAGCCTTTGTGTAAAGACAAAATAGGCACAAGGCTGCAACAGTTCTAGGAGGTGAATCAACCTCCGTTGTTTCAGAGTGTAATTGTAACTGGTGGCAAAAAAAAAAAAAACAAAGCTCAATTTCTTCATAAGATTATGGTTCAGCTACAGCCAGGAGTTTAAGAAATTTAGTAAATCAAATCTTTTCCACACAAAAACACAGGCCATTCCTGTGAGAGCACTGTAGAGCCCAGAGAAGACACTAGCTTCATTTCAGAGTTTCTTTCCACGTGCCTTCCCTTTGCAGGCATCTCTGCAAGCCAGGTGGCAAAGGGAGTATCTCCTCCCAGCCTCCTCCCCACTTCTCGCCTGCAGAACAGCTCCGGAGCATCGCCATCTAACACAGGGGCATCCCTTTACCTCTCTAAGGCAGGTCAGAGAATGCACAAACACTACTTCGAGGCAGCATCAATTCCAGTACCCTCACCCAGCCCACCGCTAAATAGGTCCCATTTCCTGAGCTGAACCACTCCAGCCCCACAGAGCAATTTCCAGTCCCCTCAGAACAGAACAACACCACAGCAAAGACGCCTGCTCTCAACTCTGACAGACGAAAGCAGGTCTCTCTGCAGAACCAGGTTCACCATTTACAGCAAAAGTCTACGCTAAACCCCAGTAAAAATCTGTGTTCTTTACAGACATAACCAAGAAGCTGTAGTAAATTAAGACAGCAATCATGCCTTAGTTAGCCAATACGTACCAATTCTAAAACAACCAATGCTCATTTCAGATCTAGGAAAACTGGCAAGCTGGTCACATCCCAACTCTGAAACCTAGAGGCCAAGTCTAAGAAGTCTAATGATGCTCATCACTTCAAAGCTATCAAATTCATTTTGATACAAGGCATTCTATTACTACATAGCGTAAAAATTTAACTTCTAATATTTTTGTTTTAAAAAGCCAAATTTTGAACTGTAAGCTTAAAATAATTGATCAGCACCACCCTAATGTAAAACGTATGTTACTTCTGAAGATTTCCAAGCCCAAAACACCACTAGATTGTGAAAAGTGCAGGAAATTAGGATACCTGATAGTAATCTCTGCTTCATCCCATTGGACCTTGGCGGATGTGCTGCCTTCCTTCACTACCCCAAGCAAGGTGGCGTGACGTCCAGTCTGCTTGTGCACACATCGACCTCCAACTCTCAGACCAGCATCAACTCCACCAATTACTGCTAGAACAGGCCACACTTCCACACAGAGCATCTTCAGCTGCAGTTCTGACAGGTCAGCCAGACCATGCCTACTGTGCTTGCTTTTCTCTTCCTCTTTATTTTCTTTCTCCTCTCTCACCTCATTCTCTTCTCGACTTTGAACTGAGCGACTTTTCTTCAGCTTTTGGCCTGCTTCTTTAAGACATGTTTTGATTTTATTCAGTCTTTCCATAATTTTTTTATTGATGCAGTGTGTCCAACGGTCTGTGCGATGAAGGATGCGAATGAGTTGGATAGTGGCTTCCGCCAGCACTGCAGCAACAGGACTACAGATGGGGTCACCAGGTAGCAAATCTCTTGGGGTACCACGCATCTGCATGTCACAGATTTTCACCTAAGTGTTCAAAGAGAACAGTTTAGAAGTTATTCTCTCGCCACACCTGAAGAAG